GTTTTCAGATCCAGGAAGATCCCCACAGAGAGGATTCTGTCTTATTATTTCCTACTCAACTCTGACTCCTTCTGAGTCTTGTTTTAGATACCAGAATACATCCTAGCAGAATCCTACTCAAATTAGATTTAATTCATTCTCACATACTATGCACTGTGCTTAGCAACTGCTAGTTAGTTTTTTACAGTTTAGAAAGAAAGTTTATTAAGAGTCTAACTTGCTGTTTAATGATCTACCATTGTCTGAAGGACTCTTCTTTCATAGCTTCTCTTGCATGCCACTCAGACCTGAGGGTTTTTTCATTCACAAGCAGGGTCGGCTCGCTCACTAGGCGAGCTAGACTCTTGCCTAGATCATGGCCATCATGGGGTGCCAGACTGAGCCACCCTCCCCCCCAAAGCCCCCCCGCCCCCACCAAAAGTTCATGCCGCGCGCTGGCCACCACCGCCTCTTCGCCCGCCCAGCCAAAAGCTCATGCTTTTGGAGAGGCACCGCTGCCCCTCGGAGAGGCACCGCCGCCCCTCGGTTGGATGTCGGCTGCTGGGCAGGTTCTGGGCAAGCGTGGGGGGCACCCTTGCCTCTCATCTCTCTCTCCAGCAGCAGCAGCGAAGCACTCGGGGAAGTTTGGCGTTGGGATGTGCACCCAGAGCTGCCGCCTCCCCTCCCCGCCATCTGGATTCTCGTCCCTGGGCCTCCCTCGTTCATTAATTTTCACCCATGTATCATAACATAGTTGCAAGAGATTATCTGAAAGGACGTTCCTAGGGCACAGTGCTTGTGAAAATTAATGAAATTGCTGATATGTACCTGTTGAAATAACAGACCAAGAGTCACTGTAAGGCTTTCATCCACATTCGGAAGAAGAATAGTATCGAAACGATAGAACATTCCAGAGATCATCGTCAATTTTACCATGTTCAACTGCCTTTGTGCATTTATATATGCAGATTTTTGTACACATTTTTGTATAAATTTTCTGATCATTATTTAAATATTTTCTAGCACAGTTACCTCACAGTTTCTTCTTTTTTCAGCAAGCATAGTCTGGAACAGTTTCAAAGTTGAGCATTTAATTGATCTAGCTAAAAGGCCCTGGTAACTGGGGGAAATCCTGAGCCTGTCAGGCTCAATCAGCAAATGTATTTTCCTGCCACTGAGCTTAAAAGAGACCATTAGATCTACAGTAAGAGCATTAGTGCTATCCTGAGGCTGCCTGCATGAAGCCATTTCTGACCGGTTAGGAAATGGGTAGTGGAAGTATCAGCAGGCTATGAACCTTTAAAGAACTTTTACTGAGCCTATGAATGTAGAATGAGCAGATGGTCTAGGAATCAGAGCACAAACAAGTGGAATACGGCCTTGCCGCCCACGTGCTTTTCTCTTCCCCACCATCACACCTGATACCACCCTCAAATATACAGCAAGAAAGAAAGAGGAAGAAAATGCACAGTTTGACAGGAAGAAATTGGGAAGATTGATATATGCATAACTTCATGATATATGCATAACTTCAATTATTTTCTTAATTTAAAATTAAACTAGACAACTTTCACCATTACGGGAATGCACACAACATCTATGCGTAGTGCCAATAAAATATCTTAGAAATTACAATTTTATCTTAGAAATTACAATTTATAAGGATTGTCAAACATGGCTTTGGTCCTTTTGGAACAGGAGTCACCAATCTTTTCTTTAAGGGACAGCTGCTGCTGAGTAATCAAAAGTACCCCAATCTATTCCTCTCTTCCCTGATTGCATGTTACCAAGTTCTGTTCTAGATGTTCTCAGCTAAGCAACACAGGGATAATCCTATGAAACAAATGTTTTTAAAAAGCTTACAGCAGATCTTTTTGTGATATTTTCCTAGGTTTTCTAAGGGATCCACCAGCAGCAGCAGCAGGGGAGCAGGGGAGCAGGGGAGCAGCAGCAGCAGCAGCAGCAGGGGAGCTGCCAGTAGAACATGAGCTACCTGATGGAGACCCTTGTTCTAGAAGGAAGGATTCAAAAGGCGAGGCTTCAAGACCATTAGCTTACAGGGTCTCTCAAGTTTCCATCCTCTCCCACGCTTTTTAACATCTGCACAAAACCACTGGGAGATATAATTGGGGGATTTAAAGTAAGTTGTCAAATATTATGCAACACTATCCTGTCCATCAAGATCCAGGGAAGCTGTGGATGAGCTTATCTGGTGAGATTATAAGGGACTGAGTGAACAAACTAAAATCAAATCAGATATCATGGACATGTTGTGGGTCGCAGTTAAGGCTGATCTGGGAATATGTGCTTAACTTGCACTGGACTGTATTTTACTTCCCCTGAAGGAGTAAGCTCACAGTTCAGGCATGCTTCAGGATACCTCAGTGACCATGAATGCCCAGATGATAAAATCAGCCAGCAGTGCATTTTCCACATTAGTTTAGTTCACCAGCTGTGCCTTCTCTGGAAAAAGGAGATCCTAGCTAGTGTCACCCACTCCTCCACATGCAGCTGCTGGTGTGACCTTGGGCCAGTCACAAGTTCTTTCAGAACTGTTCTCTCAGAGCTCTCTCATCCCCGCCTACCTCAAAGGGTGCCTGTTGTGGGGAGGGGAAGGAAAAGGAGATTGTAAGCTGCTCTGAGACTCCAAGTGAAAGGCGCAGTATAAATCCAACCTTCTCCTCCTTATCATCCAGGATGAACAGCTGTTGATATCCTGTACATGGGGCTGCCTTTGAAGATGGTCCAGGCAGGGGTCATTGAGTAGAAAAAGAGGTGCAGGAGCTCATTAGCATAATTCATTAGCATATGCCACACCCCCTGACATTATCGGAAGTGTGTCAGAAGGCAACACCCACTGCTCAGGCTCCACTGGACTGTTTTGGATTGCTAGCTATTGGGGGGGGGGAGAACGTGCAGATCTGTCCTCGCCGAAGAAGGACCGGGGGGGTGGGGGGAGCTCTGCAGCTTACCTGGCTGCTTCTTGCTCTGACTGAGGGCTGCTGGGAGCAGGGGGTGGGGCTTGTTGCATGTGCCCACCCCCTGGGCTCTTTACTGCCGAGGCTCCACTCCTGTGCGCTCCTGCAGGAAATGACCCCTGGGCCCAGGTATTTCAAATGGTACAGAACAAGGCAGCCAGGGCACTTACAAGGGACTTAGGGACTGGTCATAGCGAGCACATTACTCCAATCTCATGTCAAGTTCATTAGCTGCCAATGTAATTCCAGGCCCAGTACAATGTAGTATAATGGAACAGTGCAGAAGGCCATTTATAAGGGAATAGAATTGTAATCTAGTACAGTGTTCATAATTTTATCACCTTGCTTTTACTGCACTGTCTTCTAACTTTGTAATCTACTCTCTTCATTATTTATGATATATCTTGTCAAGCATTCTGTGTGATTGAATTTTAAAAAATATATATTGTGTAAATTGCCTTCTGGGATGTGGGATTGTATAGTATAGCCAGATCCTGGAAGCTAAGCAGGGTCAGTACATGGATGGGAGTAAGGAAGACTTTGCAGAGGAAGGCAATGGCAAACCACCTCTGCTTAATCGCTTGCCTTGAAAACCATATGGGGTCACCATAAGCAGGCTGCACTTGATGGCATTTCACACACCGACGCAAGCTACCTTGAGTCTCAGTGAGAAAGGTGGGCTACAATAGTAAAATAATTAAGTAAATAAATACAAAGTGTGTGGGTGTTAACGATTAGTCCTGAAATGGCTTGGGTCAAAGGCTCCTGGTGGACTGCCTCCACCTGCACATAGTACATACCAACTTATACTCTGAGGTCAGCCAAGAAAACCCTTACTGCAATCTGATTGGGGAAACCTACATGAGGGCTTTTTTGGTAGCTGCCCCTGCCCCTTTGAAACTTGCTCCCCCTCGAACTGCAGATAGTTCCTTCCCTAGAGGACTTCTTGCATCAGCTAAAAATCCCCCCCTGAAAAAAGCCAGTTTTAGTTAAATCTTTCTGTTGTGTTCAAAAGTTTTAAGTGACTGTTTTAATTTTTTGTATGGTCATTCTTTTTGTAAGCCACCTTAAGTATTTTTAAATAGAAAGATAGGCTATAAATATTCAGACAGACAGACAGTCAGATTTCCCAATACACTTAAGAATGTCTAGGGTTGCCAGGTCCCCCCTGACCATTGGCGGGGTGTGGGGGGGTAGTGTTAGGTCCGCACTTAACAAAGTAGTCAGAGAGTGATTTCAGAAAACTCAGGTTTATTCAGCTCTTCAATCGACTTCTTCTGACACGGTACAACTCTTGATAGCCCGAACATTTGTCATCTGACAACTCACATCTGACATAGCACTTCATTGCAGCTAGTTCGGTATTTAACACTCC